CTTTTATTATTTTCTTTCTTTTTTTTTCGCTGTCAAGAATTTTTTACTCAGCTACGTTGAAAGTGAAAAAGTGATGGAAATAAAGTGCAAGTTTACGGCCGTCATCTCTGAGAGGCTGTCTTTTTTATTTTTAATTTGCATATCCTTGGGAGTAGGCACACTAACCCAGCCATCAGCTTAAGCACATAAGCTGAGCTCTTAATTAATGTGAAAGCCCTTACAAATGTTTTAATTGTTATACTTTAAGTCGCATTAACTAGACATGTTTGCAGATAGCTGAACTGCATATTTAAGCGGCTACATGCAGAATGTGAAATAAAAATATGACTTAACCAAATCGAAATTTATAAAAAATTTAAAGCAGCTTTCCCTTTTTTGCAGCCAATCAAAATGTTGTTTTGTTACATAAATTAAACATTCATGAGGGCGACGCTGAAAAGTATGCTTTAAAATAGCTATATTTGCACCATATATGAAATATTTATTACAGTTTATTAGAATTTGCACTCTGGAGCTTATCTATGCCACGGTGCTATCTTAATCGCCCAGAGAAGGTCACAATCGATTTAATGGTGCGGTCATGCGAAAACTGAAAAAAAATTCTTAACAATACTTCCTGTATATGCCAATCCCTGTTTACTTTTCTTCTCCTGCTCCTTTTTTTTTTGTATTATCTAGAAGTTTGACAAAGGAAAGGAAATTATCATAAGTTTCGTAGCTCAAGGGGCGGTAGTCGCTTTAAAAGTACTTATGCAAACACACACACACACACACACACACACACACACCGTAGTAGACGCACGTGTGTGGGAAAGTATTTTATGAATTATCGATTTTCATTTAAGAACATATTTAAGGGCCCCATGCAAGATTGGGAGACAATGGCAACAAGAACTACAACTATGCGTTGACTTTTGCTGTTGACGTAATGAAATTCCTTAAAGGTATTTTGCCAGATTCTCTCTCCATCTCTCTCCCTCTCTCTCTCTCGTAGTGTCTCTGGCTGGATGCTCGGACAAGATATGCTTGTCATTCGACAGTATGTTCGACGTCCAGCATGGCACGCACAGTTGGACACACTATGAGTGGAGCTAAATGCTGATACAGAAATTAATGTAATTAACACAGAGTGTTGTAGGCACAAGTCGAGACACCCACTGCCACTTAAGGCTAAGTAGCTGATGACGTCGCCTAGCTCTCATCAGCAGACATGCAACACATTTCACATTTCACATTTCGCACTTTGAGGGATTGCCGCACAATAGAAGTTGCAGCCCATTGCGCTCTGCTGTGGGCAAAAATGCTGAGGTTGACATCACGCAATGGGCACAATCAGAGCACATGCAACCGAAAGTAATTACGGCGACATGTGGCACGCAGGTGGACCAAATGAAGTCAAACTGCTCCTAAACCTGACTAATGGAGTGTGGAGCACAAAGCGTGACGGCGCAAGTACCTTCTAGATTGTCACAAATTAATTAATAATGCTTGTAACATTTACTTTAATTAGATTGCGACAAGGAGTGTGGATCGGGTGTGGGCTCACACACGCTTCGAGTAGTTCGTGATGGACATGAAAGACCTCTGTCAGCATTATAAATGACTTGAAGTGAGCTGCTAGCCACTCAAAGTGTAACTTAATTGGCAAACAAGCAAATTGGACTCTAGTTACGCAGCAGCTATATATGAGCTCATTTTAATGAACCAAAATGTAAATACTAAGCCTTTGGCTTGAATACTGTAACGTCGCATATGTATTTGCTCTTCAAGCTTAGAGAATTCTCGAATATAATATTGCAGCAGCTGAGCCTCAATTTGATATTTATTTTAATTTTTACAGGCATAAAATTGTTGCTTAAATAAATTCCGACTGTAATAAACTCTTTAAAAAGATTTGCGAAATTACGCAAATAAATCCTCTTTGCAAAAAGTATTTATTGAATGCATTCTACCTCGTTTGCTGTTGGCCCGATAAAAAATAAACCAGTAGTTAAAGTAAAGCCATCTTAATTTCGTATATTTACAGGGCTTTCGCAGCACTCGCCTGTACTTGCCAGCTGATTACCACCCAATGCCAATGCCAGTTTGCTGCTCCGGTGCGCCTGTTTGTTGTTGCTGGCGAACAATAAATATTGATTACGATGGTGTTTGAAATTGTTGTGGGTTTATTTGGTTGAGATGGCTGGCTTAATGTTCCGTTGAAATTCTAATTTATAAACCAATTAGCAGCCAAAGCTCACAGCGCAGCCATAAATTTTCGCTGCCAGCAAATTTAATCAAACAGCTCGCTGCACGAGCTGCCGTTGTCTACTTCGCATAGTTCCTGGCTCTGGCTGGCACTTATAGACTTTGCCTTTGGGGAAGGCGTCGACTTACTTCCAACTAAATATCATTCACGCTCCGTTAATTCGAATCCTTGCAAAAATTAACTAATCGCACAAAACGTTCTCCACTCGGCAAAGCATTTGGATTGCCCGCTTAACACTGATTCGCATACTTAGTATGATTATCTGGGCCAAAGTAATAATCTGGGCTGAATATTTTGGCAGACGACAGCTAATACCCCCATAGAATGTTCATGAAACGAGAGCAGCTAATTATCGCGTGTAAGCCCAGCCGAACAAGAAACAAACTTCAGTGTTGAATTTTCAGTTAGTATTTTATTTATGAACTATTAATTTATTTAAAACGAAAACATACAAAAGGTACAATACATAATTGGAAAAAAAATATCGAGTTAGAGCCAAATTATATTCACAGTTTGTAATAGTAGTAGAAACTTTACTCTATGCTCTGGTTTCCACTAACAATTTCCGTATTACTTATGTAACATTGTGTATTTTGGATGCCGTACCTAGGCGTACGATGGCAATCACACACATTAGTATTAGTCCTGTATATATGCATGTGTTTATATAATGATTTATTCCTACAAAGATTTTCATTTTTGTTTTGTTCTTTTACATGTATTATAGTATATTAGCAAGTGTCCCGCATTGACATTCTATTCACGCTAACCATATTGCATTTAGCCGAGCTCGTTTTATAAATTTTGCCGTAACACGAATATTTTATGTACATTTAATTAATAACCTCTCTATTGTGAACATGCGTTAATTGTTATTTGGTAATTGAGTTACTCCAATACTATCTTATTCTATTACGAACCACAGGCCCACACACCACACAGGCCCCAAAGAACAATACCAAATGCCAAAAACCCAATGCTAACAGTTTTACAGTTAGCAGAGTGAATTTGGTTTTTGTATTTGTATTCGCTTAAAGGTTTGGTCCGTTTGGATGCAACTGTACTTTGGTTGTGGCCAGTCGTTCGTTCTATTTGTTTTTGTTTGCTTAATTTTGTTCAATTTTCCGGAATGTTGTCCTTATATATCTTATATACACTTTGGCTAATTGGGGGACGAGTGACTATTTAAGAACGTATTTGGACTATAGATGTACACGCACATATATATATACTTACATGTATATATATATATTTAGTAGTAGTAGTAGTAGTGGTATTTAGTACTGCTTATATACACGTTGATTGGATGCTTTCCAATTTACATAGACGTACTCGCTTAGTTACTAATTAGGAAGGCACTTGACATTTAAAACAATAACGTCAACTTTAACAAAGAGATGAGAAACGACTAGAAACGACAAAAACGAAAAACAACTTTACATAAACACATCCATATGGTACACGTAGTAAGTGTTACATATACACATGTATGTATATATAGATCTGCAAATGGAAAATACAGAAGTCAACGACTATTTCTTAAAATATTGTCTGCAGCAGCATTTCCATTTCCCTTCACAGTCAGACACACTCACAGGCTTTCATACACACTCGCACACACCTAAATATATATATACATACATTCTGCTAGTTAGGCACTGCTGTCAGACCATCCTCCTCCAAGGACCTTGGCACGCAGGAGTAACTCATTAGCCCGCTGGCCAGAAGTTTCCCATGCCCCATAGGTATAGCTATTCCTAGCCGGATATTAATTACGCTCATCCATTTGTAGCGCATTAATCCGAAATACACAGCACTGAATTATGCGCACAGCACAACCGAAATCGCTCATACGACAAGTTGTACGGCGTGACTGAGTTATGATGCCGTCTCCTGCTACAAACCTATTCGCTGTGATAAGCCGCCCAATAAAGCGTTTATGAGGCTCATCGTTCTAAACAAAGCACATACACGCATACACACGCTCAAACGCAAGCACAACAGACACACACACAGTACAAAATATATACATATATCTCTCTGTCTCTCTCTTTCTCACTCGCTTTGTTTTTGGCTTGTTCAACACACATCCCGCTGTCGCATTCTCATAGGTGCGGACAATTATGGAGATTCCTTTTGGTACGGAAATGGGAATATCGTGAAATTTATGAGGGTGTGTGTGTGTGTGTGTGTACACATGCACGCAGATACACATGAATAGAAGTATGAACATATTTGGAGCTCGCTTCCTCTCCCAGCGCTGCGTATGGACAACCCATTAGTTGAGCCTTTGCAGGAGGACTTTGGGAGTTTTGCTGTTCCTTTCGCATCCTTGATGTATGTGTGCTGTAATATCTGCTGTGCTTGGGCTTGTTGGCACTGTGTATTCATGGCATTCGTGCGCTTTTATTTATGCGTGCGTTTACATTATTGATAACATTAAATGAGCTTCACGCAATTTGTTTTCATTTGTATGGTTGAACCGCATAATTTAATGATGTTGGCAATGGCGATGGCGATGCCAATACCAATACCATTACCAATGCGTATGTTTCTTGACTGCTCATGTGACTGTGCTCCAACCAACTAACGTGTAATTAGCTTTGGTTGCCATGGCAACGATTGGGCAATTAAAGTGTTGTGAAAAAAGCAATTAAGGAAGTGAAATCAAGTTGTGCACAAAATATTTACACATGAATATAGAATCACGTACGTAGTCATATCATATATCATTCACTCAACCAGTCAACCACTCACCCACTCACCCACTCATCCACTCACCCGCTCACCCACTGGAGAGCTCTGTGCAGACAAATGCTTAACCTACGAATTGCGGTAGCCTAAATTATCTATTTGATGGCGCCTACTGTGTACTGACCTAGGACTGTGCAGGTATGCGTAATCGTCCGCTCCACTCATTAGTAATTTACAGTTACAGTTACAGGAAGCTCGTCCACTTAAGTACATTTATGTATACATATATATTTTAAAAACAGATGCCAACTCCTGTTGTGGCGACTCCAAGAGCCATCTACTCCGTACACACCTGTTGTTGTTGTTGTTGTTTCCGACTCTGGGAGGAGGGCTCTGGGCTTAGGTCGTTCCCCTGTAGATTTGTATTGTCGTTTATGCTAGCAGCGGCCAAGGGTACTGTTGCCCCATTGTCGGCTTGTGGCTAGGGTCCGGATGCCGGCACATGAGCTGCGTCTGAATCGGAGGCCGCCAGGGACTCTGCCTGAGCGCCTGGCCCACTCTGCCTGGCGGAGCTCTGGACGTTCGGGGAGGTCACGTTGATGGCCGTGGTATATACGTGAGGCTCGCAGTCCGCCGTGGTTGGTCATCCGTAATAGAATTGTGAGCTCACCGGTAAGCCAGTGGAAAGTGTACGTGGAGCTGTGCCGTCATATGATAGCTGCGGATGTAGCATAGCCGCTGCGGCGGGCTTTGTGCGACGCAACGTTGACGTGCCAGCGGCTGGCAGATGACTTAATGTAGCCATCGCCAGAGGCGATGTGGTCGGCGTCTGTTGTGTCTGTGGATGAGCCGGGGAGCCGCTGGCCAAAGAGGCGGGCGGCGTCGGCGTGTTCGCCGGCCGCTGAACAACGCCCATGCCCTCGGTATTTATGATGTACCCGCCGCGAATGGTGGGCGCCGTTGTATACTGGGCCAGGGACGTAAGGGGCACCATGGTGTCTGCAAGCACACGAATCGAAAAGTTGACGAAGCGTGCCCCAACAAGCGAGCCCAACTGGCAGCGAGCTGAGACTAATGAAGATACTTACTAATGCCACTGCTGCCGGGCAGAGCGCCGCCAGGGCCATTCGCGCCAATCACAATGGCCGGTGCCAGGATGCCTGTCATGGGGGCCTGGGCTGAAGGTGCGCTGCCCGCACTACTCGTAGCCACATATGTGCTGGGCGCAATGCCTATGAGGTCGGGTGACTGGCGCGCGCCCATTAGCAGGGGATTGGGTATCAAAGCGGGGGCCGCGCAGGGACCGCCAACGGATGACAGCTGGCTGGGCGCTAGACTGGCGTACAAGCTGCTGGCAGGCGCGTAAGTGATGTAGTTCTGCAGTGTTCAATGACAGATGATAGATGGTAGATGGCATTGGCCAAGGGTTAGCGATGAGTAATGTTACCCACCTCGTTCTTGGACACGCTGGGCAATGGTATCGAAGTGGTAAGGTCAATGTCGGCGTCTATCTCGGAAATGGTGTCGTTAAAGCCGCTTGGAATAGTCGTCTCATCGCCCAGCCCGCCGCTCGTGCCCCCCTTGGTGGAGGAGTTGGAGTGGGTGTCGCTGGCCATGCGTCGCTTTTGCAGCAACAGGCGCGCTACCACAACGACAATGGAGCAGAGCACACCGACCAGCCCGACAATTAACAGATACAAATAGAGTCGCTGCTGGTCATCTGTGAAATGGGAAAATCTTTTAAATTAATAAAGGGAAAAATTTAAATTCGACGAGCTCACTTGAGCCAAGGATTTTCATAATACATAATAGCAACATAAGCCCAGCTCCATTTCAGTTTTAAATTTCTCTTGAATTTCATGTCGTCTTTGTTTGTGAATAAGATCTGGCAAGGCATTCGTAAAATGTTTGCGTGGCCCTTGCTGACAGTGATTCCTTGTGGGATTACGCCTACATTGCGGGACTGTTTTTCAAAGAGCCCCACCCGGACTCCGCCCCACTTGCAGACGGGGTCTGTGGACCGACTTGTGACTTGTGTTTTCTATTACGGCCCGGTGTAACGCAATGCGACATTCGGGTCAAGTCGGAAGAGACTTACCCTCTAGACTTAAGTCGGCGCTGTGTGTCATCACCGGATTGACGCCACTGCCATCCGCATCAGTGTCCAGCGAGCCGTTGGTTGCGGTGTGAATGCCCTCTGGATTGGAGTTGGCCGCGCGTCCGGCGCCGCCAGTTGCGTTGCCTCGTGAGTTTTTGGTGGTATTGCTGTATAGTTTGGGTATGGCCTCCGACTCCTTGTAGATGAGCTCATCGTCGTACAGGTCGTTGATGTCGCCCTCGAAGTCCTCCGTTTCGTCCGCCTCCACCTCAGACTCGTTGCTCTCCTTTAACACTTGCTTCGGCACTAGGGAACAAAGACATAGAACAACCAAACGAGCAACATAAATCATGCGGCCAAGTCACCGGTAACGGAGGGTCGGACGCCAAGCACCGGGCATCAATCTTGTGCCACGATGCGCGATGTGATGGGAGGCGACTCTACACTACGCCAGGCGATGCGATGCGATGCGCTAACAAAGGCGCGCCCTAAATCAGTCTGAGTGGCAGAGGCAAACGCCCCTTGATTTTTCCCACGACCTACTTACCGCATGTGTAAACAACCTTCAGATACATTCGCGAGTTTGGCTGGCACGGGGTCCCAAAGGTATTCGCATCCGCGGCGAGATTGCAACGCCTTCGGCCATGGCAAATTTGCATCACGGTCTCCGTGGCGAATGAGGCGAGGCATGCTATTAAAGGCCAGAGATAGAAAAAGTAGTTAGAGCGCGGCCAAGCCACGGATCAGGCTGTCTTGATTGATGCAATCCACAGCTGAGGCATCAGTGTGCCAGGCCACCATCTCCCCAATACTCACTCTCCTCACGGACCCCTTGCGGCTGCGGACACTGAATGCTCTCATACTCAGTGCGTCCGAAGCTGGCGCTGTAGACGGCGATGCGCGAGTACGGGTTGCATTCCAATTGAGCGACATCGTTGTGGCAGGCAACCTTGCTGCGGAACTCATCTGCAAAACGAAACGAACGCAGCAAACTCCTCTATATTTTTGAAGTATAGTGTGTAATTTTATTTAATCAGAAAAATTAATTCGTTTCTAAGGAACTGCGTTTGCCCCGGAATTGTATATCCAATGATTGAGATAATCAATGACTCGGATCTTTGTAATTGGAAGTCACGAGCTCCGACAGTTCAGTCAGACAGTTCATGCTGGGCGCCTCATTACGGCACCGCCAACAATGCTGAATTCCAAATGTATATATGTATGCGCATATTCGATAATGGGACACAGCATTTGCTGAAACTTGAAGCTCCCCAGTCCCCACTTGTGCTGGGGGCCATGCGGCAAGTGCGGCGCTGAAACTTAATTTTGTACCGTCGATGTTTTTCAAGTTATACAAAGCACGTGCAAATGCGATTGGACTGGTACTGCCACAAGGCTATGCCGCCGTTGGCAGCGTTCCTACCGGTTCGATACGCTTCCTTGCCCCGCGGTTGCCGGACACGCCCGTGGGGGGGGCCAAAGCCCGCCAACTGCTGTTTAGTGCTAGTCAATGCCCCCCGTGTGCCATCGCTCCATTCCACCTGACTGAATTTTTGGAACGCACAACAACTCCGTAAAATGGCTGTCTGGATGGTAGTGCCCCATGCCTCGTCTCTGTGTTCGTGTCCGTGTTCGTGTCCGTGTCCGTGTCCGTGCCTTTGCCTGTAATAGTATTTGTTTGGCAAAACATCGGCTCTGTGTGCTTTCGGGTCATGCCCTAGGACGAGGACCTTTTGCTGCACACACACACACGCACACACACACACACACATGACTGGGCCCAGTCCCAGTCCAATCGAAAAGCCAAAGTCCGGATGCAGCCAACTCTCGTTCAACTCATTCGGCTGGACGTTTATGTGTCGATTCCGGCAATCCAGATTGTTCAGCTCAGTTTGGCCTGTTGTTATGCTGTACTGTGGGACGGACGGACTGCTGTACTGTGCGGAATTTGTTAGCCATTTTACGTGTGCCATTGTACGCCCAATAAATTCAACCAAATTAAACAAAACTTGCGCTGCAGCTGCTGACTGACTTACATGGGCGACATTTGTAGGCGATCTCGACGATTTTCCGGCGCTTGGGGCAGGGGTCGCTGCTGATTGCATTGGAGCTGGCCGTGCTGCTGTGATAGCTGCTGGTGCCGGACGAGTCGCCCACTCCGCTGGCGCCCAGTCCGTAGAACTGCGGGGAGCCGTGGAACTTGCAGTGCTTCTTCTTCTGGCAGGCCTCCACAACCGTCTGCAGCAGCGAATACTGTAAGCGGAGAACAAAGGTGGGTGAGAACAGAACGAAAAATCAGTTGCAATTTAGTTTTTCCAATTTTATTTCCTCCGTTATTTATTTTTCATTCGTTTATTTTCCTCTTTTTCCGTACTTGTCGCACTGCTGTGCAAACAGAAAGAGCTGAAAAGTGAACGAGTCCAGGAATCGGGCGGAAATTGTAAACTTTTACAAATTGAAATAAAATATTTGCATTAAACATGTAATTGAAGTGTTTCCACTTGTGTTTGACTTTTTCGTTCTCTAAATATATTATGATTTTAAGATAGAGCTCGATTCGAGGGGCACCGATGGAAAAAGTGCAATCAGCTGATGCAATGTGTATAAAGTTCTCTAAGCGAGTTGCTCTACTTTTAGTGAATAGCCCAGGCGCTATATGGACTTGTATTCTGCCTGATTCCACGCTAGATAAAAGCTGGCGAAACATGGTTGATCCATTTGCTATGACCATTATGTGCAAACAAGTTGTTGTCCATCATCTGCATGGCATCTATTCAATCAACAGCTGCATTGTCTCCTGACTATTAGCAATTTTTTCATCGTGCTATTTAGCGCTTCAGCCAGCTGACAGGCACGTCCAGGCCAGCACAAAAAATATAAAAAAATGGCCACGTCTAGCTGCGTATATCGCACCACTGGTGCCTGTGCCTGGTAATCCGTAGCGTGAATGTAAACTGTTTATTTTCAAGTTATTTTTCACTATCTTGTGTTGACAGCGCCAAGAGGATGATGAGCATGGGCGGACAGGCGGACAGGCGGACGGATGGATAGATGGGCCATACAACGGCAGACTGACAGCAGGTTTAGATTTGCTTGGCAGCATCAGTCGCTGGGCGAGTCGTCACAAAATTTAATAACAACGACAGCGACAGTGACAACACCCTGAGGACCGGATGGCACAGAGAGTGAGCGAGGGAGAGATACTAAAACAGCGAGCGTTGAACAACAAAAACAGCTCTTTGAACAATGGCTGGAAAATGGAGACAAAAACGATGCGAGAAATTATTTGCTGTGGTAGCCATTTTTAGCGCCATGTTGGCGCTGCTGCTGCTGCTGCTGAGCAGAAAGTTTTGGGCTTGCTGGGTCGACCCGGCCCAGCCTAATGATGCCCCATGGGACGTGAAGGCATCTTGGCCAGCACAGCGGGCTGGCCGACAGGCCAGACAGCGCATTGACTTTGCCTGACACAAAGGCAACTTTTGGCCTTCGTCAATGTTTTGCGTAGCATTTCTCAGCGGTTCGTCTGCTACTCATTTTGGGGCCCTACATGTTGCCCCCACTGTCAGATGTAACAGAAGAACATTAAAAACGGAATCAAATGAAATGAAATGAAATGAAATGAATCCAACTGTCTGTCTCGTATTGTTTTCTTCTATGTTGTTGAGTTTGCTTGAAATTTAAATTCATTTTGGGTTCAAAGGATGCCTTCAATTATTGGAGAAGCCAACTGAATTGCTTAATGAATTGGAAGCGTTATTCGGAATGTGGACAAACGAATTTCCTTATCCCTTTGCGCCTTAAAAAGAAAAAAGCAAGTGGAATTTAAAACGGCATTCAGTTAACTGCTCAACGTTAGCTAAATGAATTTCGACATGGCGCTGAATTTCTTCTTCTAAACGACTCAAGGACTCTCAGCTCGATGGTATTCTTTGTAATTCTATCTCAATTGCAGTTATATCTTTTTTTCATATATTTCAGATTCAAGTGCTTACAATTTAGCTCACTTAAGGAACCATTCTCCGCTTTTTATAGACAAGCGAAACTTGCCATCGAAGGCCCTTAAATTGTTGCCCTGTTTGGAATTGACTGTCTCTGGCTTTGTCGGCACTTACCTGAAGAGCATTTGGCCACATGCAGTTCTCAGAAGAGCTCTCGCTCTTTTGAGCATCGTCCGCCGTAGACTCGGTAATCGGTCCGTTCGGTCCGTTAGTGCTGCTCGGAGCTTCCATGGCAATGGCGTAGCCGTTGTTTACGTAGCGATTCGCGGGCACCTTTTGTGTGGTGGATCCGAAGATGGAGCCACGCAGCAAGTGCTTGGCCTTGCCACGTATTTCGGGCTTCACGGTGCCGGTGACGGGGCACAGCTCCTCAATGCTGTAGCCATCTGAACAAGTGGAGGTTGCATAAAGCACGAAATGGCAGACGTGTTAAGAATAAATGACCCGGGGATGGCCCACCAGGGAGTGAGAGAGAGAGAGAGAGAGAGAGAGAGAGAGAGAAGCCCCCAGGCAGGCCCCAGACAGAGAGCAACACTTACCTTTCGCCACGAACTTGTTGTACTGGGCAAATTCAATTGAAATGCTGGTGCCGCGCGGGCACGCAATTACCACCTGATCCGTATCACAGGCCGCCTTCTGATATGTGCGCAGTGTGGCCGATAAAAGAGCTGTTGGCGATACGTGGCGTGCGGAGCGGGCGGAGCGGGAGCGGAGTTTCCATTGCCATTAAGCGGGACACATGAAAAGCAGCAGATGAAAAATAGCATTAAAGTAATTGATTGTGCCCATAATTAATTAAAATTTAATTAATCTATTATGCACTACACGGCGCGCACTGATAAAGATATTCAATTAAATGAAGTCAACTCGCTTTAAACTGATCGCAGAATGCAATTTATTATGAAATTCCACAAAGAGCGCGGCCGCAGGGCTCTGCACATATTAAATAGCTGACTAAATTAAAACAGACAGCGGAGCTCAGCATTTTTCACGAGCTGCTCGGGCAGCTAACTAGAGTCCATGCTGCGAACAAACACCTGAGCTAACAGCACTCGGCCCTGGTCTGCTGACGCCTGCCAAGGAAAACAGCTCAAGCAGGAGCCGGGAGCCAGGAGCCAGGAGCCGGGAGCCAGGAGCCGGGAGCCTTCAAGTAGCTGAAGCAATGTTCTAGGCGTGGCTGGCGCTTGGCGTTAAAATGTGTTTCCGCACTTCAAGCGGACGCCAAGTGCACATTTTTAGCGCTCTAGAATTCCTCTGCTTCCTAAAGGGAGTTGCATGCCAAATTATACGAAATTCTTGGTAAATATTTTGCTCGCTTCGGTTCGGTTGTTTATGCTCTTGCCTAAAGCAACAACCTCATTTTAGATGAGCTCAATATGTATGTGTGTGTGGTCAGCAAAGCGACTTGATGTAGGTCATGTAAGTGGCGCTTGGCTTTCAATTAAATTGCTGCAATAAATCAATTTCCGACAATTTGCCATAATGTTTCAGCTACCTAAATGAAATCGACAATTTATCAGCTGAACAATTTAAATACCAAAACTTTAGTGTATATAAAACGGCATATATATATATATATATTTACATATATATATGTATATATGGTTAACGTGGGCGTTGTCTAGCTGGGTCTCGGACATGAAATATAATTTAGCCGTTACCGTTCATTGCTCGCTGGGGCATTTGGGCTCTAATGAGTTTGGGGCGCCGCGCGTGCGAATTGGTTTTGTTTTTGATGACTGCCCATGGCAGGGGCGTGACGGCCAGCACGAGGAAGTGCGGATGCGAGCTAAAGACACCGAGATTGAGGATATTGCAGTCCAATGCGAACTACTACCAACAGCCCACTGTCGACTGTCGACTGTCCTCTGTCGACTGCCGACTGATTTATATTGCGAGCCATAAATTATATTTAAATGGCGCGCTCTCGCTTCTGGCAACATGAGCCGAGCGTACCGCAGCTTGTAATTATTTCTAGATAGAGTATATAGTGACTACACACACATAGATATATATGTAATAAATACGCTGGCTGGCCCTTGACCAAATCGCCAAATGGCAGGGCACCGCCCCGTGACAATAAATTTGGTGTCCAGAGCTTGACCGCCCCATCGCCTATCGCACGGATGCAAGTGGGCCACATTAGTGGGCCAGTTAGATAATGCCGTTTAGTGGAATAGAGAGCTCTTTCTCGGTTTGGCTCGTCCAATCTTTGCCATGTGCACGAAATTTAATAATTTTTAGATTATTCACATGCGCATTGCCAACGGAATCGCCCGCAGCACTTGCTGTTCATATCTCTGATATTGTACACTTGTGCCAGCTGGCGGTACATTAATTTAATTGTTATGGCTTTACAGCTGGTGTTCTGGTCTAGGGGGAACTTTCAAACGGTTCCGCTAGTCCTTGGCTCAATGTGTTGGCCGTTGCCGGTCGGAAGCGAAAGTCTCTGAAGTTTTTATTGATGCCATTTGACTTCGGCAATCGAATCACTTTGGCATGGAGCGAATCCAAAATGAAAAGAAAAAAAAAATGAAGCAGCATGAAAAAGCTTCCTTTTGCGCTCGGCCATAAAATTCAGCCTCCCCCTCTCCAGCTCTTCCGTCGCAAAACCATGACCAGCAGCGTTGAAAACTTTACCTTTTAAAGTGAAAGTATTTTCAGCGGGTTGCTCAAATTGAAAATACAATAAAAAATACAAAATAAAATAACAAAAAAACGAGAGTCCCTTTGACCTTGCGGTATGCCCCCGGAACAGTCATTCAATATATATGTATATATATTCTATATATAATGTATATTGTATGCTCTCGTCTCCATTTGCAGACCAGTAGTTGCCGGATGATGGCGCATTTTTTGGGTAAACTTTTTATTTGATTCGAAATTGAAAGCGCTCCAGACAGATGCCGGTAGCTGCTGCGCTTAAAGCCCGGCCCGGCGTTTTACGAGCCGCCCGGACGGAGTGAAGTGACGGAAAACTGTCGGCCATGAAATGTGTGCTCCAGGCCTCGAGAACATTACTTTCTCAACTTGCTGGAGTAGACACGTGTGTGCGAGTGTGTGTGTGTGTGTAACGCATGTGTGTGACTGTGCGCCGGTTTTCCACATGTGAACCGCAACGTTTTACAAACATATGAATAATTTAAATATATATATGTATGTGTATATATATATAATTGTATATATATGTAAATGTGTATATACGGCGAACCCTCTCAGTGCGGCTCAGCAGTACAATCCTGCTTGCCTCAAAGAAGATAAAGATTGAATATTTATATACGTGCTTTATGTATGTATGAGATTATGTCAGCACATCGAATCAAATGTATTATGCAGTATTCTTAAAGCAAATGCAGCCAGCAGGACAGCCAGCAGGAGCAAGCTGTCTTTGACATTCTTTCCAGCTATATTATGAGGGCTAGAAAATAATCTATGCTTGGTTTTAAATGTGCCTCATCGACTAATGTATTATTGACAGAGCTAACTGGGTCGTCAACCGGTTGGCCTACATGCGACATCAAGCGAAAAATGGAAAAAAAAGTAAGAGTAAATAGTTTGGGTCTCTTGTGACTAATGATGCTAGGCCCAAACTGTTTTTTATACTAAGGACACGCTCTACCCTTGTCCCCAAAAGTGTGATAAAAAATTTAAAAATAGAAACTGTAAGAAGAAATTTCCACTGTGATTTATAGAGAATTATACACATACACACACACATACATTCGAGCGAAAAGGAGAGAATTAACTTTGATTTATAGTGAATTATATACATATGTACATATATATATATATATGTATTCAAGTGAATGTTCTTCAGTAAATACTATTTTATAAGTACATCCAGCTGATTGACTCGAACGTTTTCTCATATTCATTGAGTTGTGCCGTTGAATTGAAAATTCGCTCCTTTAGAGAGACTTTTCGCCTTCTGCACTAGCGGAACAAATGATTGCTCAGTAATTCTCAAAGCATATTTGCTATGCAATGATTGATTCTGCTGCACATTTCTGCTGAAATTCAGGGATCCAGAGATATGTGTTTGCTCACACGAGGACCTTATCGACTTCATGTGCAGCGCCTTGCACAATTCATTTTACATTCGACAATTTCCAAATATCCGTGGAGCTGCTGCTTGTGCGACGTCAGCCATCAGGCATCAGGCATCGGCATCAGGCATCAGGCATCAGGCATTGGCATCAGCCGTCAGGCATTCAGTTAGCTCCACTTTAGTTGTCTCGTCTATTTGCTGTAAGCTGCTGGAATCCATTCACCCTGGACTGGCAGTGTCAACAGCCAAGTCGCTGCTTTGGGACAGCCAAAGCGCGATTGAATGGTCTCGAAGCCGATGGGATTCGATGCAGAGCAAAAAAAAAGGGGCAGAAGAAGAAGAAGAAGGGAAAAAGCAAGCAACTGTCATCGGGAGTTGTCGAGTCAATGGGGCAGAAGAAATTGATTTGTTTTGATTTATTCCCATGTACTTGGAAACATCAGCTTCCATCAGGGTTCCTGATCTAGCTCTGGCTCTTGCTCTGACTCGGGCACGAGCTCGACTCGGGCACGGGCTCATCTGTCCGGGCATCGCAGTAGCTGGCGTTCGATGCTGCCCTTGTCCTGTTTGTCTCCTTCTGATGCTCATGCAAAACTCGTGTTGATTTCCTTCTTTGGAACTGCCTCTACTTCGTCCTGCTCGCTGCGAGAGCGCCTGGGCTTGTAACTTCTATATTTTATTGTCCCATTTGACTTGCTTAATAAATGGGAATGTGCCACTGCCACTGCCACTGCCGACGCTGTCGAACAAAGCCCGGGGGCAGCGTTGGGACGGCGACATTCTTGTCCTGCGGTCCCGAACCAATAAAACTCGATATGTATCTGGGTATGGCTGGCGCCCAGTCAGCTCTGTGTGCTGAACAAATAAATCTAATTAAATGAAATTTAATATTGCTCATTCATATTTGGAGGGGCCAAATAATGTCGATTGCGCAGCAGTTTCGGGCCATCAGAGCCTCAACGAGCCCGGAAGAGTATTAAGCCTAAGATGGCCTAAATATGATCCCCAAATCCAAATAATAATGAAATGATTTTCACTTTCCGCGCGCCAATGCGATTGTTGACTGTGGAATTACATCCAGTCCAAGTCTGATGCTAGCTAATTCACAGATTAGCGGCAATAAGTTGTTCATTAAAAATGTGTGCAGCAGCACAAACAGAACAGACGTAATGAAGCGAACGGACAAAAGTGAACTAGAACAAAGTAAATTGTAAAATGTAGACATCATATTTTCTCTTTTTCGCTGACGCTCGCATTGTTTTCGCCACTGGTTTTGGTTTGGGCTTGGGTTTTGTAGTGGACCCCGGTCTAATCCTGAGGAAACAAAAGTTTATGACATTTTACGAGCTTTTTTAATACTTTGTGAAAAGTTTGCACATCTCCATCCGTCCGCCGCTTATCCATCTTTAAGCTCTGCAGCTCGCCGGAAACAAAAACAGAATTTATGAACCTGTTTTGTCATATATGGATGGCTGAGCGGCTGAAAGCCGGGCCATGTGCAACTGGACAGCATGGAAGCCATGAGAAAAGCACATGTACATACATATGAATGTGTGTGTATATACATACATACATGCATATATAAATATGTACATGAACGAGTGTAATACGTATTTAACTCAGTTTAGACATTCTTGTCAACCCCGAATACAACAGATTGCACTCACGGAATGAACAGGACGCGTGCTTTGTGGACGCACTGCGTCAAGTTATAAAGTAAATTTAAATAAAAAACATTTTTCCTTTCCGACAAGTGATGTGCCGTGGAGGGGCGGGTCTCCGAAATTTCCCGGGACAGACATTACTTTGCGTAATTGAGAGCATAAATTTGATGAGCTCGCGCTGAGAGTTTTGCTTTATCTGATGGGCAATGAAATATTTGCTCATACGACGCATTCGTATGCACATTAGATAGAGCCGGGCGCCGAGACGAGCATAGAATTACCTTCGTAGAGCCGGCACTTTGAAAGTCCCCATATATGCAAGACAGCCGAAATCCAGAGGATATACTCGACGTACAGTATACGCGCGCTAGCGCGAATTTACATTCAGCTGGCATGTGCTTACGCAGTATGTAAATGAATAGATTTAAGGACCTTGGGGAAACGACAGTTATATTTGTGGCGTGCAGCAGGAGCGAGCACTAAGCAGGACAGCAAATGGCGACATGTTTTCCTTATCCCCAGAGTTGTTTCGCATTTGTGAAATTTTATTAACATACTTAACAGCATAGATATATTTGTAGGTATATATGAGTGTGTGTGTGTGTGTGTGTGTGTGTGTGTGTGTCTGGATGTGGGCGTGTAATGAGATGCCATTTGCTGTTCTAATTCAGCATTTCGCTCACGTTATCCTCATCCAATTTACTTGTTGTATCAATGATAAGTGGACAAATCGCATAAGGATGCTTAATTAACATATGATTTGATGAGTGTAGGAACTGCTGGCTCTGGCCAGATGACGCTTACCCAGGGGATCGATGCGGAATATGATTTCGCCTTCGGCGCTGGCAGCACTCAGGGCGCACAGAAAGGATAGCATTAAACACTTGGCCTGCGTATAATCCATTATCCTGCGAGCTGAGCCTCGGCTCCAGGTGCCGCCGGCTGGCTGGGCTTGACTGGGCTTCGCTTGGCTTTGGCTGCTATGCGACTGGATGCGTTAACCGGCATCCACTTCCGGCATTACACACGCCCCTTCCCCTTGGCCAGGCTGCACACACACACGAACTGTCGCACTGCTGCTAGTGGAGCGCTGCACGTATCGAACTCTGCATGGACTTTTCCCAGCGTTTGGGCCAATCGGCAGTTGCACCAAATTTGTTTTATTGATTTTCTGTTAGTTGTTTTTCATTTCCATCGTTTTTCTCTCGTTTCTTTGTTTTTTTTTTTTTTTTATTTCTTTCACCGTTTTGCACTGGGGGACATTTGAATTCGATTTGCCTTGCCGTCGGCTTTATCCTGTTTGCTGCTCTGCTTCTTCTTCACTGCTGAGGGTTTTCGTTTGGATGCGTCCTTTGGTCTGATTTGTTGGCACTTTGTTTTCACATTTGTTGCTTGCGTTGCAGGAAGTGCGCGAATTTCACAATTTTTCAGCTACTGCTGCTGCTGCTGCTGCTGCTGCTGTTGGGCCACAAAAAACGATTTCGCATTTATTATCAATTCAGAGCGAGAAGCGCTCGCAGCCAGCGAATGTAGATCAATAAAATGCACACAGAGCAGAGCCCAGCCCGCTGCCGTTCGATTGTCATGTGTGTAATCAAATCGAATGAGCTGAACCACTCAACCACCCGAAAAACCACTGCCAGCAGCAACGATCCTGCAGAGGGATGCACTGTTGTTGCCACTTTCTCCAGTGACAACACGATATGACCACGCCCACGCAACACACGCCCATGCTGCACATCAAAATGTGACAGTGTCACTGTTAATGTCTGCGTGTGTGTATGTGCGTGTGTGTGTGTGTGTCGTTTATACATATGCAAATCTGTGTCAACAATGCAAAAAATCGAATCGTCAATTGTCACGCGGCTGCTGCCGGCGTTAACTGCACTTTTTTCACATTAAATTTTCATTTGGTTTCTTTGGGGCTCACAATTTGCCAGGGGGCCACTTCCGTGAAACAAAAGCCACATTGATTGCTTGCCACACCCCCCCGTGGGCGGCCAGTGACAGAGACAAGCAGCTGGCAACCATATGCCAATCGCAGTGACATTAACGGAGCGCTTAAAAACAGTTATCCGCGCGCTCTGCAATTACAAAAGGCCACTTGGCCAGCGTAATCCGATTGCTCTCCACGTGTCCTGCGTGCGTCCATCTGGCATATCATTTGCGGCGCATCCATCAAGCGGCACGTCCGCCTTCCCTCGACTGCTGGCGGAGCTTTAATTAAAATAGTTTGGCATGCATAGATGCGAACAGCAGATATAATATTTGCCCAGAGGCATCACAATCCGCTGACTTGATTCAAGTATTTCACTTCGTTTGGCTGCTGCTAATGCAGTGCTTAATAAATGTCTGTCATGTGTGTCAAGTGTTTGGCAAGAGCTCGCAGCTGCTTTAGCTGCTAACGCCTTCTGCCAAGTACTTGCAATTAAAATAGTCACAAACACACACACACACAGACTAAACACTCACACACAGACAAGCCAAGTTGATAAACAAATTCTGTCAAGTGTCGCTTGCTTTTCATTTAGCAACTGTTTCACAAGGACAGCACAAATTGTAAACTTAATCAATTTTGAACAATCCTAAAAGGGTTTCTAATAACAACACACACAGACACAGACACACCCACACACACGTGTCATATACACTCATTAGTGAACGACAGTTAGTTGACGGCATGACAGCTCTGCCGGCAGGCCGTAGCAATTATGGCTCGGACTCGTCTGCAGCTGTGGCAGCTGACAAAGCGTTGGCAGCTTTATTGCCCGGGCCCAAATCAGAGTCCCTGACTGGCAATGGGCAGCAACTGTTTTTGGCATTCGTTAAGTATTCAGTTATTCAATTATCATATTTAGACAGTAGCCAAGACGAATATAGCAGTCGCCGTGGGAGGGGACATGGAGGGGGGTGGGCAGCAGTTGGAACCTGCTGCGCACTCGACGTTTGATTAATGATGCGAGCCAAAGCCAAAGTTTTTCTGCTCCACTTCAAAGTTGCTGTGCGTGCCAGAGAGTGTATGCGAGTGTATGTGTGTGTGTGTGTGTGTGTGTGTGTGTGTGGGCGTCTGTCTAAACTGCACACGGGCACAGTCACATTACACATGTCCATGTATCTGTGCCACAATTTTTCCACTGTCATTTAGCACAATAGGAAACGAGGCCGTGGCGGGACTGTGGTCCGTGATCCGTGGCCCAGTGGCGCGTCCGTGTGGTCGTTGAAATGGCTTTATTTCAGCCAAAACGGGCGACAAAATTGAAATAAAGCGACGTAAACGACGCACACACACACACAGATAGAGAGTGAGTGAATGAGTGAGAGTGAGAGGGCGAGAGACTGGGACATGTCACGTGGGAGTCGAATCGCTAACCAGGCTGGGGCCTAGGCGCACCGGCTTAACGCTTGCTAATCATGGCCAAGTGCGGAAGCTGGCAATTTTTGGTTAATCTCGCATATTTGAGCCAAGTGTGGGTGGTGACTGCTGCCTGCTGCCTGCTGCTGGTTGGTGGTGCTAGTTAGTGGTTGCTGGATGGCTGGAGCTCCCTGTGTGCATTTTAGCTGCTCCGCCTCGTTGAGTTTTAAGCATTCTTTTCCCTTATATTTTATTATATATATTTTTTATTTTCATTTTAATGCTCATTTAAATTTTTTTTTTTTCAGCTGGCCGCAAAAATGCGAAACACACGCGCACTCAAAGGAATAGCTCACATTTGGCCACGTTAAAAGCACGTGCAAATTTTGGCTTTTGCCACGAGGATGCGCACGCCACGCCCACCGCCTACCGTCAACCGCCTGCCCCTATTACTGCGGGCGACGTAACGACGAGACGTAGCTGAAGACAAGCACGGAATAAGGCAGCTCTGGCCCAGTCGCAGTTGCACAATTCACGCGCGAAACACGTCCGTTGGGTTTGTCTGTCGGCGAAGAACTGACAACGGCATCGGCATCGGCATCGGCCTCTGCCTCGGCAACGTGGCCGCATCGGCAGCGCCATGCAGAATCCCCGAAGCCCGACGAGCAGCTTCGGTGCGCACAGCGACAGGAGCCGAACGACGGCCAGAGGGAAAAACTCTCTTTGAGGCAGGTCGCGTTGCCGAAGACAACTTGCACAGCATTCGAAGAGAGAGTCTGGGGCACTAGACTCTGACGATGGTCATGGCGAGTGCGACTGACGAACTAACGGATCTGGGTCAGTGTGCCCTTACTCACACACACACACACACACCCAACTACAGCACTGCTAGTGTGTTTGCCAAGAGACGCGCCGCCAAGAGTTTTTGGTCTGCGAGCGGCGCATTTAATCGAATGTAACGTTTACAGTCAACTTAACACATTGATTTAGCCTATCGTAGGTAAATTAGTGGCCAACTGCCAGGCGGCTTCTCACTAAATCGTTTTGCACCCATGTGTGTGTGTGTGTGTGGGTTAGTCTACGGCTGTGTTATGGTTGTGCGTGCGGCTAGGTGATTATGCCTGCCGCTCAGATTGGCCTCATAATTCGCTATGGAATCGTTTTTATCACTTGCACCAGAGACACACACACACACACACACACACATGTGTATATGATATGTATACGATATGTGTGTGTATGTGCGTATGTAACTGTGCCTGCCGTGTGCGTGTAGCCTTTGATTGAACAAGGACACGTCAAGGCGAGACGCAACGACTTGTTGCTGGCGCTTTTATCGTGCGAAGGTGAAGGCAGCGTTTGCCAATGGATATA